AGCATCTGGTGGATTTGAACTGCGCACCTCTGGGATTTCAGTGCAGCTTCTTGCCACTAGGCCACCAGAGCTTGCCTATTTGAAACTTTTTTGGCAATTATTTAACAATTCCCTCTATATTTTCAACCACTTTCTATGTATCTGAGCACTAGATAATGATGAATTAAGAATGATAGGATAAGAATTGAATACTTTGAGTTGGTGTGTTGGAGAAAGTTCTGAATATCTATGAACTGCCAAAAGAACAAACAGATTAGTGTTTGGAGAAAGTGCAGCCAGAGAGTTTCTTGGAGGCAGAAATGGCAAAGATTCATCCCACATACTTTGGGCATGTTGCTAGGAGAGGCTATTCCTTGTAGAGGGACATCATGCTTGGAAAGGTGGAGGGTCAGCGAAAGAGAGAAAGACCATCAACAAAACAGACTGACACAGTGACTGCAGCATTGGGTTCGAGGATGTCAGAGATGACGATGACGACACAGGATAGGATACGGTTCAGATCTGTTTCTCATAGGGTCACTATGAGTCATACTTAACTCAATGTCACCCAACAATAACAACAATTAAACCTTGTTTTGTTTTTTAATTCTTCTCTATTTTTTCTCTTCCCCTATATTTTATCCTCTGTAACGTCAAACTTTTACTCAGCCTTAGAAGACATAGGACAATCATTCTTTTATACTCTTATCAAGCAGTTCTTACAACATTTATTTCTCTAAAGATTTTTGTTGTTGTTGTTCTGTGTTTTGGTTATTCTTTTCATTCCATTTTGTTCTGTTTGTTGTTTGGGTGCTTTGGTCTTTTTCATTTCATATTTTCTACTGCTTTTGAGACAATGTGGTGTTGGTTTTGTATCATTTTGCTTTGATATATCTGACTGAACGGTGTTAATGTGTTCCCTCACTGCTAGCTGGGCAGTTCATAATGTTCTACCTTCATGTTTTCTGGTGGGTGTGACAGAGCTTGCTTGGATGTGTGTGGTTCTCTGTTCACTATCAGAGCACTCGAGGGCAGACTGGGCTGGTACTGGTTGCAGGCTTTCATTTGGTAAGTGGAGCAGGAACTGGTCTTTACTCTTGTTCAGTTGGTGAAGCTGCAGGAGGTATATTGGTGGCTCGATACTATTGTTGTGTGTTTTCAGATGGGCAGGAAGCCCTCTATATAACATGGGTGAGACTGGAAGACAGTATGCTGAGTGAAATATCTCAGTCACAAACAGACAAATACTGTATAATACTACTGATTTACGATGAGATTGGGGGTGAGGAGCAGACAGAGAGTGGACAGATGGTGAGGCTTGCACTGGAATGGATGGGGGAATGGATTGTCTGACAGTTAACGATCTAGATCAAGAAGTGCATTACAGGGTGAATTGGGGGAGGAAGGAAAATTTGCATCAGTGAAAGATTGGAAACCCAGCCCTTCTGTAAATTTAAAACCACAATTTTTAAAATGTCCTCAAAAGAGGGACAAAACCAAAACCACCAAAATTACCAAAAGAACAAGACTGGACACTAAAGGAAAAGAGAAAATAAAAACTGAGATGGGTACAAAATGTAGGCAAATTAGAATGGAAAGGTAAGAAAAGAAATTAGAACAAGAAAGAATAGACCAGGATGGAAAAGGAATGAAGCTAAGGGAAGAGAAAATATAAGATATAAAAACTAAAATTTGCACAAGAGCAAAATAGAAAAGAAACAAGCACACCAAAACCTGAAAACTATGAGCAGTAAGGAGAATTTAAAAATGAGAGAGAAAATCAGAGGGTCTGTTGAGGGAAGGTGGACTAGGCACCTGATTGGTATTCTTCTCACTGCTGTGATAGGAACAGACCACCAATTACTCATATGCAAATTCAAGCTGAAGCTGAGGAAACTTAA